CATTCACCCAGCTCATCAAAATGAAATTAAAGTAACATCCTAAATATTGTGAAATCATTTTTAAAAATACATATTTACTGTTACATGCAGGCGTTTGCTTACTTGTTTACCTTATCCTTTTTTATCCTGAGTACTTTAATCCTAGTGACCATGCTCAGTAAGGGCAGAGCATTTTATCTCCCTTTACTTCCTAGAATAGTTTTCCACCCGCCACAATGATGCCCAGAGAGATCCCCTGCCTTCTTATTCAGCACTCTACCCAATCAAATGAAGGAAACAAATAACCTTTTCCCCAAGATCTCATGAGATTTATCAGTGTACAGTGGAAAGCACTGGGGTATCGGTGAGGCCTTAGATATGTCACCAGTGCCTCAATAGACCACGAAGTGGGATTCAACTATATGTAAATAGCAAAACAATTATTTGAATTAAAAAATGATTTGCAGATATTTTAGGATTAGCATCAAGAAGTGCGTGCATCAGGGAAATATCTGAACATCTGTATTTAGTAATTGATACAACTTCTTGAGCAACAATAACCTCCCCCAAATGCTTCTTGTAGCTGCTGAGTTACACAATGATTAGGCATTAAATATCATTTCACCTTATACAGCAACTTACAATATTTCTGGGATTCTTTGCTTTAATACCTATGTGCATGTCATGCCTCTTCATCTAAAATGGGCCGAGGTCTATATTTTGTCCTAGACTTTACATGATACAGTTTTCCTTCTGTTTGAAGTACTTATAATCTAAACATGGTGTTACTTTAATTAGGATACAAGCAGCAATAGATGTTTACTTGTAGTCCTTGAGTCAATGTGACAGGAAGTGGTCGGCGATCTCCTTAATATTACACATGCATAAATATAAACCTAAAAATGGTTTTTACACTTTCCAGTTCTATCCAAAATAAAAAAGGGGTTGTATGGAGTTCAACTTCAAAGTAATTTAAAGTCAAAATGTTTTTTTTAGCTATTACAAATGCTGATTAACCCCTTCGTGACGGGAGACGTACAGTGTACGTCTTGTCACTTTGTGCCTATATGACTGGCCACGTACACTGTACGTGACGAGTTATATCAGGCTTTGTAATGCCGGTATTTGCTGATTCTCAGCATTTAACAGTCATTCATTAATGTCTCAGTATTGAGGCATTAATTAATGAAATAATTAAGCTTTTTGTAAAAGCTTCTTCCTTTCATTAATGAAAGAATGAAGCCGTTACATGCAAATAGAGGACCGCAATTTGCGATCCCGTATTTGACAGCTCAAAATAGCAGAGAGGCAGCAGTGACTCACCTCACCTCTCTGCTATTTGTTTTGACAGTTCGAGAGCCCGATGTTTAGATACATTTCACTGAAAGAATACAATGTATCTCTTTTGAGTGAAATGTATCATTTCTGATCGTCTAGGCACGATCAAAGAGCTTTTAGTGAGATCTGAATCTGACTAAAGTCAGGATCAGTCTCTAAGGTTATTATTAGCTGTTCCTAAGTTTGGATCAGCCTAATAGCCAAAAATAAAATAAAAAAGTTAATTTATCAAGCTGTCATAGTGATTGCTTGATATAAACTGACAAGAAAAAAAAAAGTTTTTTTATTTTATTTTTTTTTTTATTACAAAGTGTAAAAAAATTAAAATAAAGTGTAAAACAAAATTAGGAAAATATAAATTATATATAAATATATTTTTTATACTATAATTAATATAAAAAAATTCTAAAAAAAAAAATAATAATCAAAACTTGTGAAAAAAGTGTTTTCTTCTAGTTTTTTTCCTAATTTTTTTATTTTATTCAAACTAAGTGAGGGGTTAGGTACACATATGTGATATAATTATATAGCCCTATCTGTCCTCTAAAAAACAATATATAATATGTGTGGGTACATTTAGTAAGAAAGTATATTACTGCTGTGGAAGAATCACACAGCAAAAATGTAAAAAATGTGTCAGTCATTTCTGAACAGAACCTGAAAACTAGCTCAGTCATGAAGGGGTTAAATCACTTACAGTGGATGCTGCTCTTTGATGTTTAAATGTTTTAGTTTCCTGCAGAATCAGCGGGTCCCCTAAGTACTCACCCTGATATCCTGTTTTAGGGTGGCTCCTTTCCCTTGTAGGATCCTGTGGAGCTACCCCTGTGTGTGCTAGTAAGCTGTGTGTGTTTTCACAAACATGAAGACACAGCAAGGCAAGACTTTAAAGAAATACTTTGCTGGGCAATGTATATTTGTTTCATCTGAATTAATTATTGAAAAATGTTTGAGACTGTAATACTATGTTAAATTAATCTGCTGTCCTTGTAATTCACAAAATGTTTGTTTATACAATTTTTAAATTAATTACTCAGTCTATACAAGCATGTGGTCCTGAAGCAGCAAAGCAGCCTGGGCCATAATACTGTCTGTAATAGGTTTCATAGTTTGATAAGAACTAGTATTGGCAATTTTTTCACATACCATTGCATGTTTTAACCAAAGAGGTTAGCTTTTGTCCTCCTGTGGAACATTTCCTAGGTGCATTATGAAAAATATTTGGGGTCTTTTGCAAACAACATAAGCAATGATTTTCTTGGATGGTCCCCTCTATTATGTCTGATCACCTAATCATTCTTTATCTATGTTTTTCTTAGCGAAAAACATAGTGAAAACAGAAAAAGAGACCAGCAAGTTAAGAGATTTCTACCGGTGTTTTGCTGTTGTCCTCCGAAGCACCTTTTTTAGCACTGCACTTTGTGTTTTTCCCTAATACATGCAGGATTCTCAGTCCTAGGGAGAGTAGCAGCTGTATTATATTTCCTCATTGGTAGACAATATGGCTTACTGCAGATTATTGAACATCCAGGCCTTTATAAATACTTTTGTAGTCCTTTCCAGTGTTACAATTCTATACAAATTTTGCTTCTTAGGACTCTTGAATTTTGTATATGAAAATGAGTGTATGTAGATTGCTAGTCACCACTCATAATAGGGTCTGTTATAGGAGGTATAAAATGCAAGGAGCCACAGAGAGGTCACTGAAAAACAAGGGCACTGAGCAAGTTAGCCCTATAAAATGTGTACAGTGGTACCCTGAGACTTGTAGTTAGGCTTTGTTGATATGTATGTTGATCTTTCACTAATTTCTTTGACCATCTTTACAAACAAAAGAATTATGGAGCAGGATGACATGCTCAGCAATCTTTACTTTGTGTATCTTGAGAAATCTGTGATAATGTTTTGGCTCATATAATTAACTGATGAATAATTAAATGCATTGAACTTCCAAACAAAAATGCCTTATATGTAGTTGGGATTCTCATATTTATGATACATTAGCATTTTAAGTTTAATTAAAACAAAGCCCATACTTAAAAAAAAAATCCTGGCAAGAAAAAGTTTCATTAAAATGTAGACAGCACAGAAAAAAACACTTCTAGCTCTTTGCTTCATATTTAATATCAAGAAAAGATCTTTTCAATAGGTTTTCTTTCACCCATGAATGCAGTTCACAATGGCTTGAACTGTGTTCATTTGTAGCTACTGTGATAACATCACAAAAAGCAAATAAAACCAGTTGACACCCGCAGTCAATTGTTTTCATCAACAGCTAGTCATCATTTATATTTGCAACTGTCCCTTTAGTTAAAATTGATATTTCTTTAAAGTAGAAAGCAGCTTGCATAAATATGCATGCAAAACAATAAAATGCTCATACTTATAGGCTTTGAGGTATTTGGAAATAGTAATTCTTCTAAAATGTATTTTTTGCATATCTGATGGCTATAGATGTACAACATCAAGGCAGCAGAATGGGTGACATATGCCTTATGATTATTTGTACTATATTATCTTTAAATTTAAATTCTCAACCAGAAATGATCTGTTTTGAAATAAAAAAATGTTTCATGTAACATCTTCATTGGCCGATTTGAGGTCTAATTACAAGTAGCCTGTTGCATGTAATATGACATCCCCAGCACAGGATTTAGGTTTACTGCACCAGGAGTGTTGCGATTGAGGACCCTCCATTATGAGGATACTTGCATGAAAATGATCCTTTACAGGTAGACTTTCATATTGCATAGAACACATTGTCCCGTCACATGCATAAAGCCTACGAACGTAGTCTACTTGACTTTCTCCTCTGATCTCTAGTCAACAGTTTGAATCACTTTATTTTAAGCAGATAGTGCAAGAGTCTACAGAGTACATCCCCATTCCTTGTGTAATAACTAACACCTAATAAAGATATATACTATTTTATTTTTTGAGCAGTAGCATTCACAGGTTCTTGAAATCCCACCTCATAATCCCACAGCTCCCTGCAAGTAAGGAAAAATTAGATGTCCATTGGATCATGCTCATGAGAGGTGAGCAGTGAGGTTAGCATGCCACCAGTCTTCTGTATGGGATAGAGATATCTACAATACAGAAGTGAATTGGCACCAATGGACCATTTTACTAGTTGACTGAGACTTTTACTATGAATCCGGGTTAATGCAATAGCAAACCAATTCTTGCATCCTTAATCACATTGAGATAGATCAGATGGTTACAGATATGATTACTGTATATTTGAATTACTTTTAGCAAATGCAGTGAAATTGCCAATCTCAATATTTGCATAATAGCTAAGTGGTGATCTGCAGCAACACCTAAAAAATGTCCACACAAAATGGAAAGAAACAAAGGTAATGAGCAGGTGGGCTGTGCTCCTAGTATGCTTCTCGAGGCTTTATTTTTATACTGGAGTGAACTCAAGTGTACCTTTAAACTGAAGATATGCATTTTCTGTATTTATATGGTATCTGTTTACAATGTCCACATAAGTTTAATACTGATGCCATTTAATCATTGATTAAGAACCATCTACAAAATGAATATCCCTTTCGGTCTCTAACAAAAACACAGATATGTCACAACTAGCCAATGATTGCATTTGTGTTCATAAGTATTTTTCCTTTGTAAGGTTTGCTGCAATGTGTTGATTTATTGTCCCACTTGCTTTTTTTCAGTTACAGATGCTCCCTAAGTGGTGAAGATTTGAACAGACACTGGCTCTCCCCAAAGTGCAATTTACAGCCTACTATTTATCATGTTAAGGGATTGTTATACTATATGAGCAGCATTGGTAGATCGCCCATGGTGAGTCACCTGTCCTGATGTGTTTACGCCTTTACTTTATCGTGGTTCCAGCATACTCTTATATGAAATCAACTTATGTTGTAACCACACTAATGAAGGTATTGTGCTGTGATGTGATGAACAAATAGGAAAAACCAGGATAATCTGCAACTAACATTTTTAAAAATGATGTCCATTTTATAGGTGCAGATTTGTCCAGTCTACAAAAACCAAACAGTTAATGAATCATCATTTGTTACATTGCTAAATTGTGTGATTCTGTGCAGCTCAAAAATGATGATTCTCCTGATTCCATTATTTCTAAATCTAAACATAATTTTGGCAAGCACTGAAGTATTAACATTTTCTAAAATGTCTCACATTGGAATTTACTGGATAAGGGTGCTTTTGGCACACATCCTTATTTACATAATACCTTCATGTGTGACAGTACACAGTACACCAGTACTGACCTTAAGACCTCTACTTCTCAAAGCTAGCCCATACAGTACATTGGGGAAAAGAAAGCAGCAATGGTCAGGACGGATTTAATCTCCCTGCTGCCCCAAGGCCAGGTTCCACAATGCGCCCCACCCACCCCCAGATAGCGGGGGTGGCATGGTTGGTTTGCATTTTTTTGTTTGTTTCTTTTTTTTAACTTTTTTATCACATTTTAATTTTTATTTATTTATTTATGAGCTAACAAGCCCTGTGTGATAGCATTTGGAGGTGACAGGTTCTCTTGATTTAACCTGTCACCTCCAATATAGGAGTTCCAGCACAGAACATTATTTTTAAGTTGTGCTTGTCTTTGTGTTTCCCATTGTTGTTTTATCCTTTTGTTCATTTTTTTTCATACTGTGCTAGTGGGGTTTCTTTAGCACATATACTAATACGATGTTGTAGAGTTTTAGCACATATATGAACCCAACATGAGGGCTGAGAGCAATGGCATATCACTGGTAGGTAACTGCCAGGAGAATAGCTCAGCAATATACAGTATTTCAACATTACCCACACTCTAGGCTTTTCAGCTCCCTTGAAACAGCTTGCCTTCAGGCCACAGAACATTGTCAATATATTTTAGTATGAGGAGTATTGATCTTTTTGCTGTCCTACTTGGGCTGCTATTGTATGACAGGATGATATAACACTGATTTCTTTTCATCCCTAAAAACACATTGATTTTAGCTAACAAGCAGTACCAAGTGTATTTGTACCTACTGAGGGGAAGAGGAATTCTTGTAGTTTCTTCAGGGATTAGAATGGATGGCTGATAATCATAAAATTGGTGTAAGAGTTCAATAGCCATAATAATAATGAATACTCAGGGGTTCTATAAATTATCAATTATTATAGTTTTTTGTATATTTTTGACCCCTGCACTTGCAATCAAAGGCAGCCAACTGAGTCAAATTTGCACAGGTCTGAGACAGAATTAACACTAGAGATAAGTCAGATTTTCATCAAGATGAGCTCGATTTTCATTGCAAATGGATGAGCAATTAGGAAGTGCTCAGGGGCAGTTTATATTCTGTTGCAGTGCTAAATCACAGCAGTAGAGGGAGACATTTATAGATCAAGCTGCCTAATTATAATAAATCTGTCTGAAAATCTTTCTCAGTGCTCCTGTATAGCATTGCTTTGCTGTGCAACAGAATTGACGTCCCTTGTGTGTCATTTAGTTCTTGTGATGTATTTAATTCATGAACGACACCTGCATTAGCACCAGAAGTTCTTTCATTCTAAACAGGCTCTCTGGGACACCACCCTCACCTACTAGACTTTACAGCTTGTGTTTGTGGTCATTGCTGTCAAAAGGGTTTTTTTTTTTACATCGCCACACAGCAGAGGCATTTGAACATAAATTACTTGCGTTAGGAATATTTCTGTATAAGCATATTGAGCAAACATCTACAGCTGTACTCTATAAGGAAGCTACCTGTTATGGGTTTTGTTAGGCAGTCATGCTAAACTTGCTCCTCCATCTGTTTTCTTCATAGACTTTCCTTTCTGTGTCCTGTTGAATCTTCTGTTTTTCTGTTGGTGCTCCTCCTGTCTTCCCTGTGTCCTGCTTTCTACCTGTTGCTTTTGCTGTTGATTCTTCTGTCCTTCCTCAGTCCACTTTATGCCAATTCCTGCTTCTCCTATTGCTCCCTCTCCAGAAGATCCCTCTGACTTTTCTTGCACTACAGGCTTTCTGCTTTCCCCAGGCAAGGGCATATCTGCCTTATTTATCCATTCCGGTGAGCTATGTACGTGGAGGGGTGTGGCAAAGTGCATTTTGTCAGACTGGCCCAAACTTATTTAAAAAGGCAACATACTCTGGCAGCTGGTGTATTGTTCAATTTGCTTTTGCTAAAATGTGCTTTCCTGGAATTCTGAACTTTTTCCTTGCTGTTGTTTTATTCAGTCCTAACCTTAGAGTGATCCTGCATTTCCTACTTCCTATCTCCAGTATTTGTGGCTAAATCCACTAGCTCATATGACACATTATTATGCCTTTGCTTTGCACTCTTGTTCTGATGCTTGGTTAATACACACACCAACCGTATACAACTCTCTTTGACTACGCTTAAATCTCTCTCTATGGCACCAGCTCTTTCCAGATGGATATTGTAATGTCCGCCATAGTATCAGATGTCAGACACTAGAGCTGGTGAGTGTAGCTTCACCTATAGCAGCCCCCATTCCTTTGAGGTAAGGTGTCCTACCACTACTTAATTGCCCCTAGAGGCTAATATACAATGCTAAAGGCTCTGGCCAAATGGTACAAGGGACTGAGCAAAGATATAGAAAAAAAAGTACCTGTGGTCCACAGGAGATTCAGTGATGGACTGATGCACGGCAAAAATGTTGCCTGTAGTAGGGTCCAGAGGCAAGTGGTTGTCAGGTGGCAGATGATGAATATGACCCAGAGTCAGACAGAGGTCAGGGCTGGTAGCAGGCAGTAAGCATAATCTAGGTACAAGTCGAAGGTTAGGACAGGCAGCAGATGATATGCATAGTCCATGGATAGGCTGAGATCATGGCTAGGCGCAGAGACAAGAGAGCAATCTAGTGGCAATCTGAGATCAGGGCTAAGTGGAAGGCATGAGAGTATTCCAGGGACAGGCTGATGTCATGACTAAAATCAAGAAAACAAGTGCCAATATGCAGAGTCGGTGAAGTAGAACTATCACAATCCTACAATCTATCAAGGCAGAAGAGGCAGAGTCGAATGCTGCCTAGCAATGGGGATGCTATGCTGTTTCCAACAAATTAGAGAAGTAAGTCAGGGCCTGTTGCTTAGCAATTGATGCAGTCTGGGGAGAGACAGCAGCTGAGTGGGCTGCAGGGGTGGTGGGGACCAGCAATACAGGAGAGTAAGAGATGCCCTTGCTTCTATCAGATCAGATATTACCTTAGCTTATCTGACTATCCGACATTACCCAACAAGGGACGGCTAGGGAACATGAAAAAAGTAAGATAAGGTGACGCTGTTATATTCCATTATTAAAGAGTTGTAAAGATATGACATACTGGACATGTAAGCTGGAAAAAAATTGTTTCATTTCGGATCTTTTCTTTCTTTTGGGTTTTGGGTCAGAATGCCATTTCATTACTCAGATTCAGATCTTTCAGAATTCTGTTTTAGTTTTGAACAGGGTTTTCTGATTGGAGAAAACAGTCACATGTCTGATTTAGTTTCATTTTGAACAAAATTTGGATGATCCGAAATTTTGTTAAAAGAATATTAGGATTTGTTTGCATTCAACCTCATTGGAATTTGGACATGTGGATGCAATTCACGAACTTTCATCTGAATTTGCATTTGGAATTAAATGACATTCGAATGTCTATGACATACACCACCATTTATGTGTGGAGTACAGGCCTCCTAATTAAGACAAGATAATCTAGTGCTTAAGCTCCTGGAGGCATCTTTGTATGCATCCATATGAAGAATCCTTGGAAATTAGATGTGGCTCTTCACTCTATTGTTCATCTATTTTTAACAGAGGCCCAGCCCTCATATGAAGGTGTATGTCATATGTTTAAGATAACCAACACATATGGACTTATTTAGTAAGCCACACAGTAATTGTTTATACATTTTTTAATCACATTATCTTGACAACATGTATTATGAGAAAATAAATATGAATTCATTAATAAATGTAAAGCTGTACCTTCCAGATGGTGCTTTAAAACATATTTTTTTATGATCAGGCTTGTCAAATAAAATGTTTTCCATTTTTAACCAAAATCATATTCAAAACTTATTCTGCTTACACTAAAGCTCAGGAGAAAGCGACTATTCTTGACACCTTTGATTTCCACTATTTTATTATTTTTAAGAATCTAAACCGATTTTGGTTACCCGAGTAAACTTTATTGCAGACGAAAACTGCTCTACAGTGGTATATAGAGAATTCTCAACAAGGGAGAATCAGCTCATTTTTAGCTGTCATTGGGGTATTACTACCCTCTATTTATTCTGTGTTTAGATTTTCCCTGAAGGAACACATCACAAGAAGGTTTCTCTGCCTTGCTCAGATAGGGACTAGGAACTAGTAGAATTTTTTTTTAATAATTTGTAAACCTGGTAAAAAATGTATTTTGTTTCTCATTTAACCTAATATGGCCATTGCAACATCTATGAAGGTAAAAAATGTGTCAGTCATTTATGAACAGAACCTGAAAACTAGCTCAGTCATGAAGGGGTTAATCATATAACAGAGTTTTCTAGTTAGTGATGTTTTTGTTGGTATTCAATTAAAACTAAACATTCTCCCTGAATATCGTGCATTTGATTGTGAAACACATGAACTGAACAACTGTGATATTAAAGGAAAAACTTGATGGCCTGTCCCATAATGCCATGGGCCATTTTACAGCCACCAGACATTCATAGCATATTGTATAGCTGTGTTGTAACTACTCTCACTATTCATTGCTTTGTGTTATGGGGCTTTTTCTACTACATTTGCAATTGTGGCAGATTAGACCAGACAATGAGCACCATTACAACTTGTCTGTACAGTTTAGTCATTACCTGCCTTTACTGTTCAGCATTATTGTATTGTGGTGTAGGACCTATTATACTACCATTGCAATTGCCAAATATCAGACCAGGTATTAGGCAGCAGCATGGTTGTCTGCACAGTATAGCTGTTAACTTTATATGCTGTTCATCATTGTTGTTTTGTGCTTTGGGGCTTTTTCTACTACATTTGTAATTGCAGTGTATTAGATCAGGCATTAGGTACCATTGCTGCTTGTCTGCACAGCATTGCGGTAAACCACATTTTACTGTTCATCACTGCTTGGTTTGGTAAGGCTTATTATACTACATTTGCAGCATATTAGACCAGGCATTTAGTACCAGTTCTGCATGGTCACCACAGTACAGTCATGTTGTAATCTACTGTAACTGTACATTGCTGTTTTCTCTGAGGCTTATCCTACAGCATTTATAACATATTAGAACAAACAGGTAGTTGGACTGCTACATTTTTGTCTGGCTAACTTGACCCTGTCACTACAACTTTGTGTTACTGCCTAAATAAAAAAATAAAACAAGAAAATAAAGCAAATAACTTAGTACACATATCTGTAGTCACACAGTCCATTCAGTGTGTCTGACTTGTCCCAACAAGTTAGTTTTACCATTGTTGGGGAAAAATAAACTACACAACTTATTGAAACCAATTGTAGTCATATGGTCCATCTAGTTATAAGAGGGTCTGTAATTTTTTTTGTGCCTGACTTACAAGTTTTTTTTTTGGTTCTCTCAATCTGGGCCCAGTAATTCTTGCTTGCACAGAGGTGGTGTATTGTGTTCGAGTGTAGCTCTCTTCTTCCCCCTCTATGTTGACCGATATATATCCTATATGCAAACTGTTGTGGATAGGGGGTTTCAGTGTGGGAGCTTCAGGCACACGCTGCCTTACTCCGCCATTGTCACTAGCCACTCCCCCATTGTAGTTTCACCACCGCCTGACTTACAAGTTAGTGTTAAAGGATTTAATATGTTACCCTTAAAGGAGCAAAAAGTGGCCCTGCCCCACTGATGTACACATTGTACATCTCTTTTTAAACAGCTCAGACTTTTGGTGGACTTCCATTGCATTTAATTGCATTTGGCTGCTGTAGTTGCCTTCCAGAGGATTACCAAACCACCAGAGCTTTTTCCCTATTGACTTTAATGGGTTTCAGACTTGATGCCGTCTGAATCCTGAACATTTTGACCTGTTCAGGCAAACAGCCCATAAATCAAGCAAAGGTATATCAGAGCGACACTAGTAGCATGCTTAATAAATTGAGCTACCCCATAGCATGTCTATCATGTGAACCTTAGAGTTCTTGCCTACAGCTAAGAAATATGTGCCCTTAAGCTGCAGTATATTAAATGATATCTGGAGGACATAAAAGCACAACAACTCAAAATGAATAAGAATAAATTGAATTAAACAGCAAAGAAGAATCTGTTTGAAATGCTCCACACTGACAATGTTTGTAAATTAGAAAAAGAGTAAAATACATTCATGTTTTTTTGGAAGTGAGTGTAAAAAGGGGTAGTTTGTTTGGTATTTAAATGTTATCTTTGTTTGCAGGTTTTCTGTGATTATCATGGCCATTCTCAAAGAAAGAATGTGTTTTTCTATGGATGCAGCATAAAGGAGACCCTGTGGCAAGCAGGATGTGTGGTGGATTCTTCTGTTCTCCTGGAGGATGTTGGATACAGGGTATGTAAGTTTCAGTTATTATGGGAATGTTTTAGCATATTAGCATGCACAATGGATGAGAAAAGAAACTGGATTAACTCAGTTTTTTACCTTATATAAACAACAGCCTGTGAAGGTGTACGTTTCTGAATAATGTATGTGTAAGGGACCTCAGAGCAGATATATATTTGCCAAACAGGGGAAAAACTATCCCACGGTTTAAGATGTACAGTTTGGGTTTCACACAACCTGCCACTTTTCATGGCCCTATGACCCACAGTTTACTCTTGCTTCTGTTGTCTATCTCACAGTATATGTATTAGCCTAGTATGTGGTATACCAATGGGTCCCCATGCACTCCTTACAGCATTATGGACCAGTATCAATGGTGGTGCTTGGAATGATAATCACGGATGGCGCCGTGCAGATCAGTCAGTAGAAAACGAAGATCACCAGCACTCAGAGAATGATGTTCAAAATTTGGTGTTCATTTAATCAAACATTGTCACATATATCATATAGTCAATGTTTTGGGGCAACGCATGGTCCCTTCATCAGGGTAGGATAGTGACTATCTTGCCCTGATGAAAGGATCCTGCGTGGCCCCGTGGCTATGTGATATCTGTGACGATGTGTTTTCTATTCTATTTCTATTAGCCTAGTATGTGGCTCGATCTCTTCTGTGCAACTCTGGGCCCCCCTAGCATAGAGTAGATTGCATGTCTCAGCAGCCTGCCATGCAGTGATCAAGCTGTGTGATCTGATTGATCAGAGAGAAAGGGGGGAGAGGGGGAGGGAGCGAGAGATAAAGGAGATAGCAGCACAAAGGGCTTGGCTGTGTTTAAATGATCTAAGGTATGGTATTTCTATTCTCAAAAACCTTCATCATGATTGTGTATGCTGTGGTATGGTGTGAAGAGCATCACAGAACTGCAGGTTAAGTGCAGTGAAAGTAGAGACCTTAGGGCCTCATCATACTATATGTATAGGTGTTGACCCTTTTCTTAGAATAGACCATAAACAGTCAAAGGTTAGGGTGGCAGACAGATTAAATGTTATCACTGTCAGACGATGCAGGAAGGTGACATACAAATCAACAGAAGAACACAGAAACCATAGGGTAGTTATCACACTAGAAATCATTTTAGAGGAAGAAACTCTTAGAAAATTATTAAAACAGGCATAATTGAGGAGAGGATATGCCCAATGAGAGACAGGTGAAAGGGCTATGGGTAAAATGAAAAGGTAAGGCAAATTATAGAGAAAAAGTCCTAAAATCCCAAATTACAGGAACTATAAGGTTCCTTATACTACACATATCACGTTATATGAAGCAATCTGTGCACCTGCATGGACTTTTCAACCAGCTAATTGTTTTTTAAGAAGGGGATACCAAATTTTGTGAATGACCTAATTAGAATTTGACATACTTTAGCACATTTAAGAACATTAAATGCAGCTGTATCAAGTATGTCCCCTGACTGGAGAAGACCAAGGTAGATCAGTTCAGAATTAAGCCCACGATGGTCAAAACCTATTGAGTAGTATCCAGCAGGTTTAAAAGCAATGCCAAGGAGAAGCAGAACATATACTGTAGTGCAACATCCCAAAAAGTTAAACTTATAGAGAAATTCTCAACAATAACTTAGTCTACAAATTGTTTCTACCTGTTGTGTTACTGACCTTTTGTGGGTTGGCTTGGTCATCAACCAGTTCCCCTGTTTGTGGTGCTGTAATTGCCAGGGCACTTGGCTGTTAATAGGTACTCCTCTCTGTGTTCTTCTGTGCTGCCTCAATGGCTTCCCTTCTTTTCTACAGTCCTCCGTGACCTCTATTGCACCCCAGGCTTTTTTTCTTGTCCCAAGACACTAGCATACCTTCCCTAATTATTCAGGTAACTTATGCACATGGAAGAGCATGACCAAGTGCATGAAGACACAATGGCATCAAAATCCATAAACCAGTTTTCTATTATAGAGATCAGATTGCTGTTTCTAGGATGTTCTTCCATTTGATCCAATTATTGTTTCCTTTTTGCTGTTTCCCTATATCCTGTCTCCTGAGAACTATTGCATTCATATAAAGCATCCTCAATAGGTGTCTGCTAAAGGTGAAAATATATGCAAGAGTGGTCATCTGGTTTTTGGTCAGAACTGATTTTTACTGATAGCTAGCAGAATTGTTTTGAATCATTACACTTTCTTTAGACCACAGATGTCAAGAGTTGGGAAACCTTGCAAATCACCTTTTTCTAGAGCTCTGCTGGTTGAACTTAGTAAATATAATATATTCAAATGCATTATTTCATATTTACCTGACTAAAAAAAAAACTTTAGTCCTGACTACTAATTGGGCCCATAGCATTGTGGTACAAATATGTGTCTTAAACAACAGGCTACAAATATGAATTAGACCAGTGTTTTAAGTGAATACATTCAGTATGTACTGTATAAAAAGTAATCCTTTTGCATTACATTCTTTTTCAAAATCTCTTTTTTAGACTTTGCCTAAAATTCTGGATAAGATTGCTCCTCCATTCTCAATGGCCTACAGCAGCTTTTTAGTAGAAAAGGCACGAGAGTCTACAGCCCGTGTTGTGGTGTGGCGAGAGATTGGTGTATTAAGAAGCTACACAATGGAGAGCACCTACTGTGGATTCAATCAAGGGCCATACAAGGTACAGAGCACATTTTACATGTTACAAAATATTACAATTACAACACTTTAAACCCTGGGCTCTTTGTATAACTCAAAATAAACCTGAAGGGTTTAGTAATGTTGCTGAAAACTGTATTACATTAAAGAGTGGTAAGAAAAAGCTCACCAGTCAGATGCAATTTAAAAAATACTGCTGTTCTCTTAAAAGGAAACTATCATGGTTTTATTTAGCAAATCTATACAATGTATGTTTTTATTAGAGGTGTAGGAAATGGAAATTTTAAAACCGAAACGAAACCGAAATATAACAATTGTCAGGTCAAAACCGAATCCGATGCTGAAATGGCTTTTGTGGAAATATTAGGGGTCTAAACAGACCCCTGATATTCCCCTTTTAAAATAGAAGAAGAGATTGAGGACACTATCTCTTTTTCTGTATCCCCTGTTATAAATGAACAGGAATCCTCTAGGAGTGTTCCTGTTCATTCATAACATGAGTTTACTATAACTACATCTATGAATGAACAGGAGGTGATATAGATCACGTCCCATTCATTCATAATTGAGAATATAGCACACACACCATGTCCCCAATTATCTACAAACACTCAGCGATCACTGATCGCTGAGTGTTTGCATTGTCTCTCCTCTCTGACACGCTGTCACAGGAGGCTGATCGAGCGGTGTAGGGAGGAGAGCTCAGCCTGCTGGGACAGCACGGCCTGTCTCCGCCCGCACACCGCTCTGCCGGACTGTGATAGGAGGCTGAGCGGTGTGAGAGGAGATGCCGACCGCCCACAGCGCTCTCCTCCAGCAGCGCTCGGCCAACTGGCAGCTGTCACTTTCTCTCCTCCCGCTGGAGGAGCAGCGCCCAGCGGAGAGGAGAGAAAACTGGGATGCGCTGATGTATCGGCAGGAAAATGGCACCTTCGGCATTATGCCAAAAGTGCAATTTTTGGCTGATATGTTTCGGTGGGCGATATATCGGTGCATGCCTAGTTTTTATTATATTTTTAAGTTTAAAAGCTTAGCTCCCTTAAGGACAAAGGCCTTTTTTAAATTTTTTGCACCCATGTTATAATCCACATTTTCGGCCTGAAAATTACTTATAACGCCCAAACAATATATATTTTCTGACAGCCAACCCTATAGAATAACATGGTGGCAGTTGCAATTTTTTATGTTGCATGACCGATCCTGTGCCTTCCTGGAGCCCAGCAAACAAGGCTGGGTTATCGGGCGGGTGGGGGGGATCCCGGTTACGGGATCATAGAAGTGATCTGCCAGCACTTGAGCTGCCAGAATTGATTCTACTGTAAAGCCGGCCGCCGGCTCTACAAGACTGAACAGACCCTCGGCGGTCTGTTCAACCCCTTCAAACTTCATGATGGGATTATCCGTCATGGGTTGTGAAGGGATTAAGTGATCTGATTAGGGATTTGGTAGTTATTCCTCTGACTCATTCACTTGTGTGTGTACATTTTAGCTGGGGCCATTGATTTTTATAAACAACAATATTTAAAGTGAAACTAAACTCAGGAGTTAAACCTTAAAAATGCATTAAAGTATCTTAACTATTAACAAAATGTAGCTTATACTGTATGTGCATCATTTAGATTGTAGATCACCCTTCTGGATGGTGGCCACTTTTGTTCCCCGTGGTCCCTGTGTGCATTGTAAAGTAGCAACTGCTCCAAGCTCACTCTCATGATAGATTATAATTCCAGTACAAAATAGTAAACAAAACATGACATTGTAGTCTATCACGGGAGTGAGCTTGGAGTGATTGCTACTTTACAACACACACAGGGACTACGGAGAACTAAAGTAGCCACCCTCCAGAAGGAAGGACAGTGTCGGCACCAATTCAGAGAAGATTTGAGGATCCACAGCTGAGTGATACACAAATAACATTTTTGGTAATAGTTAGGGTACTTGAATGTATTTTTAAGATTTAACTCCTGAGTTTAGAGTTACTTTATACTTGGTCTTTGGGACCAGAACTCAGAAAATCAAATGTCCCCATTTTGAGGGCTTATATGCAAGTTATTGGCCATAAAAAGGGTATGGAGATTCGGGTAATGCCCTGGGGGACATGTATCAATGCAAAAAACACTTCTAAAAAATACAATTTTTAAAGGAGCAGTGATTTTAACATTGCTTAAAGTGAAACAATAAAAAGAAAAAAATCCTTTAAATATTGTGTAGGGGGTCCTCTTAAACTGCCTGTAAAGTGGCGCATCTGTATGATATATAGAACCTGCTGCAGCAAAAAGTGACATTCATTAAGAAAAAATGTAGATTTATAAAGAAAAAAAATGCGTGCAGTTCCCCCTCCCGAACAATACCAGACCCTTTAGGTCTGGTAGCAAATTTAGGAGGGACCCCATATAAAAAAGAAAAGCGCAGGGTTCCCCCACAAGTCATACCAGACCCTATAGGTCCGGTAGGAATTTTAGGAGGGACACCAAGTTACAAGTTAAAAAGAGTGCGTGGGGTTCCCCCCTCAAAGTCATACCAAGCCATTAAGGTCTGGTAGGAATTTTAAGATGGAACCCCACCCCCAAAAATGGGGGAAAAAAGACATGGGGTCCCCCTAAAATTCACAACCAGATCCTTGATCCGAGCACAGGTCTGGCAGGGCAGGAAAGGGGGGGCAACCGAGCGCCCCCCTCCCTGCCATACCAGGCCACATGCCCTCGGCACTGGGAAGGTGCTTTTCCAGGGTCACCAATGGAAAAGCACCTTGTCCATGTGCCAATGGGGACAAGGGCTTCTTCCCCACAAGCCCTGGGGTGTTGGTTGTGGGGTTGCGGGCAGGGGGGATTATTCACAGCAGGGTACCCCTTTAATAAAGGGGCACCCAGATGCGGCTCCCCTTGTGAATGGGAAAGGGATACTTGTACCACTATCCATTTACTAAAGGGTTAAAAGAAATTGTAAATGAAAACACCAGACTTTAAAAAAAATCCTTCAATTGAATAAAAGGCATGTTTTTGACAAGTCTTTTAGTTAAAAAAAAAATTGGATCCACCGACGTAATCCAGGGTCAATCACAATAATCAGCATTGTCCATGACGACAACGACTCGACAAAATAAAAAATAAAACAAGAAAAAATAAATAGAAATGGTCAGGTGCAAGGCTTTACCCAATCAGGGCTTGACAAAGCACTGTGCAGAGCACAGTGCCTTGTGGGGTGCTCGGTGGGTGAACAGCCCGCTGAACGTTTACACTAAACTCCTTAGTTTAGTGTAACTGTAAACAAAGATGTTAAGTAGATTTACATCTTCTGCAGATGCAGTATACATAATATTTTTTTCTACTTCACTGTAAAATGCTATCATTAGACACAATAAGATCCACTCCCGAGATACGGTTTGTTTTAGTCCTTCTTTTATTTGATGTGAGGTACCTTTAACAGTAAGATAATGATGTATTTCTTCATAAGTGTCACTTATTGTTGATAGTGACTGAAGACTTTGACAATTTTGATGCAGACACAAATATATTCAAATACATTCAAAACATATTGTGTCAGCTATCTATAAAAGCAAACCAACCCATTGTTAAATGCCAACCAGTGGGGCACAGTCATTATGAATACACAGGCATGGGGTTTTATCATTTTTTATCATTCACAATAGAATGTACAAAAGTAATGTGCTTGTATGAGCTGATGGTCACAGTATTGTATTTCTGAAATAGTGAGATGTATGAAATGTAAGATAGATCTGACTTCACACTGGGTCACTCTTCAATTAATAGTAGTTTATGAAATGGCAAATATTCCTTTTCTTGGGGAATAAGCCTAGCCTAGCAGAGATACAGAGACAAAGAGAGATACAGAAAAATAAATATAAGATGTTGAGGGCTCCAGTCAGGGTTACAAGGTTTTTGACCTGCAGAGACCCTGCCCTATGATGTTGTGTCCATAATAAAATTTAGTATTATTTAGTATTATTTGCAGCTAGTCTTTTTCTGGGCTCTGTGTGTCTTTCCTAAGCTGAGTGGGTTGATTGTTTCTTCCTGTTACTAGGAGAAAGGTTCCAGTAATTAGAATGAGAAGGACAACCACTGATTTATGGATATTTATGTATTCCAACCAATTCCTAGGGTTTTTGTTTAGAGGTATGGCTTTGGAGATGATAAATATTTGGGTCAGTATTACAGAGTCTTCTCTACATAATGGGCTTCTGCCCAGAGAGGATGTGAGTTTAGAGTGTCTCATCCTTTGGCCTTGCCTCAGCAGGTGCTATACATTGCTGGAGCCAATGTAGAGCAAGGGGTATTCCAATGCAATGTTAAGAATTATTATGCTCAGAGTTCTTCATTAAGGTATTTTACAACTAGCAGTTTTGATCAGATGTATACAATACGTTTTTTTTTTTCCTTTACTTCACTTGTGAAGCACAGTGACAGCTGAAACTGGGAGGTTTGTTTGTGAGCAAACACCTGTTATCACCATGATTGGCTGTCATGGGGATTACATCACATTGACTGTCATAGGAATCATGGGACATTGCGCTTTGACACGTAAATTAGATTATGGTTAGAAAGCATTGACAAGGTTTTCTGTTACTGTGCTCTTATTTACATAATGGGACTGTATAGAGATTTTTTTACATATTTTGTTTCCTTATGTAATATGTTTAGGTCTATACCATGTAATACACATTTTTAATTTTTTATTAGTCAGTTCAGCTCAGTCATTTCATGTGGGTAACTATATACAGTATAGTACAGTTCACACAGTTTATGCACTAAAGATACTTTCAAGAATAGTGCAAGGAATCGTTTTTATCTATCAAGTAACAACCGAGAAGTGCATTAACAGAAAAAAAAATGAAATCAATATTGACTTGTCTACACTTTGTCTTTTTAAATGGCATCAATTCTCCTAGGTACACTCGCACACAATTTTTAGGGAATTTAGGAGGTAGGTTGTTACAAATATCTCAAATATCTGACCACAGTTCTTCTGTGAATTTAGGAAAAATTGCTTTAGTTTCCTCATGTA